TGATGACAATCCCAAAGCGTGGACCTGGCATCTGGTAAGGGTGTGCATGACAGAAGACGTCACCTGGGGACCAAGCACATTGCTGAGGACCGATCTTCCTCCTTCATCAGAAGCTCACTCCTACAGTAACTAACCCACTCCCACGACACCAGCATTAGTCCATCATGCCAGCCTCTGCCCTCGAGACCTAATCACCTCTTAAAGGTCCCACTTCCCAAAACTGTTACACTGGCAATTCACTCGGAACGTGAGTTTTGTCAGGGACATTCAGACTGTCGCAAGAAGATACCAATCGACTTTCTGAAATAATAAATTCTGTGTAACAAGGAATACACGGGTACAAAGTAAGCATGTCAGGGAAACCTTTCAGAGAGCATCTTGAACCCTGCATGGCAACGAGGAAGCAAGCGACAGCAATGGGCACACTTACTGTACCCACTTCATCCACTCGTGCGCATGCTCCATGGTCTCCCCAGAGTCCACGAGTTCAATGTAAACTAAACCCTTCAAGAAGGTAACAGCAGAGCATTAAAAGAAGGGCAGAGCCTTCCTGAGCACAAGGTACATGCCCAAGAAGCTGGTCCTCTATCTACTGCCTGCTCTCTAGCCTCAAAGGATGAAAACCCTCTGGTTCATTCCTTCCTGATGCTTCGGCACACATGGGCTGCACCGCACAGTGATGGTAAACTGGAGACAGAGGGAGTTGACCTGGTGGACTACGCTATGTGAACAAGGGAGCTGTTGGCTGGGGAAGAACCGTCAGGTCTTTTCCATTCAGGCAGAGGCCCCTGCACAAGGATGAGGATATAAATATTAGCAGTCTCCATAAGGAATGCCAAATTCAAAGCAAGTGTTTAGTTTTCGTTTATGTATTTCACCTTCCCAGTGTATGCCGACTACTTCAAACTGCTAATGAACTTAGACTGAACAACTATACAGTGTATTCATGATGGGAAAACTCATTTGCTATGCTGTAATGACACTCGGTGACTCAATGTAAAAAATAAAATTAAATTAATAACAACTGCCGATGAAACACTGGAGATTTAAACATGGGCAAAAATGATATTGTTCTTGCCCTTTTGCCACTGAAATATCCAGGCAGTGAATGAGGAGTCAATGTCACAAGGAGTATCCCAGGGAAAGTATCAGGCACTGAGAAAGCCCAAAGCATGGTACTAAAGGGGACTTCAGGGACAGGGAAGACATTCTGGAAGAATTCTCCTCTCTGATGAGACCGTCTACCTACATAGGAGAAAGCCAGGCCAACAGGAAGACTGGTCTTAACCAACAGAACAGCATGGGCAAAAGCAGCGAGAGCAATTTCAAAGAAATACAAGAAAATTCAGAAGAGATGGAAGGACCCAGGGGCTCTTGAAGGACCAGACACCTTAATGGCATTTATGCTTCATCTTAAATGTGACAGGGAGCCATTTTAGAGTTTCTGCATTGGTCATACTTATTTTGGAAAAACATCTGGCGGAAAACGGGGTGGAACTTATTGGTACAGGGCAAGGAATGAGATTAAGCAGGAGGTCGGACCTGCGGATGGAGCAGTGGACGGCAGGAGAAATCCGTAGTAGATTGACGGGACTGGGTGACAGCAGGGAAAGGTGGGGTGGGGGGACGGGGAGGGACAAGTGGGGCGGGACGAAGATTAAGCAGACTTCTGGGTCGGTCACTGGAGGGACGCAGGGGCCCCTTCCCGAAGGTTATAAAGAGCCAGGGGGAGCCTGGCAAAAAGAAAAAACTTGGAGCTGGAATTGCAAACATCTGCAGTTTCCCCAGGAACGGCTTTTGAAAGCAGAATCCGCTCCCGGCTGCGGTGTGACCGTCCCTAAAGCGGCCTCTGGGCAGCACTCTGGCGGACTCGGCAGCCCGCCCACCCACGCACAGCCCCA